CACCGGGTGTAATCAGTGAAGTAGCTAACACTGTATTTATCATGATGACAATATTATTGAGGTTAAGCTAAAGCAAACAAAAATGAAAACAGTGACCAAGGACAAATTGTTAGCTTATCAAAAGTTGCTTGAAATAAAACTCCAAAACGAAGTACCTAGACTGCTAAGCCCCGATGTATAACTTCATACTCTACTTTATACTGATTTGGTTATGTTGTATCCCGGAATAGCAGCAGACCAGAGCATCGCCAGAACGTATGTATGGAGGAAACTGTCCACACACAAACGCAGTACAATGAAAACGGTAGAGGTTCGCATGGCAACCAATCAAATGTAAGATCACGTGATAGGCCAGCGAGTGCTAAATAGAAGTGTGAGCATAATATCTGAATCGAGGGCAAAAACAAAGTAAAGTAATTGAACATGACATTGTCCCCTCCTCTGTTCGCAAAAAACATAGTTCGCAATAAACATAGTTCAATAAACGTGAGTACCAGCGACTTAAGCGTACCGGCTTTTAGTCTTTGTTACCGCGACTTAGTAGGGTTGTAAGAGCAGAATGATCGGTGCGCAAAGTGAATCGACGTCCGAATAAGTAAAAGTGCCATTTCTCACATGCCCAGACGCATGCCAGGGCCTCCTTCTCGCCGGTGGAACAATTTTTTTAGTATCAGACAAGGTACGTGATGCGTACGCAATCATTTTCTCCTCGCCACCGCGCAGCTGAGACAGAACTGCACCCAATCCAACATCTGAAGCATCAGTTGAAACAAACGCTGGACAGTGCTCATTGAAGATCGCTACCGTATGAGTGGATTCAATCCTCGCTCGTACGGCAATGTAAACATTGTCTTGTTCAGTGGCCCAACGAAACTCCTGGTTTTGGCGCGTCAATCTCCGTAACGGCTCGGCAATAGTCTCGAAATTCGGCAAATGTCGAAGGTAATAAGAACACAAACCCAAGGAATGTTTCATCTGTGTAACCTCACATGTTTTTGGACAATCGAGAATTTCTCTGGTGTTCTGCACATTAGGCTTAATACCCGAGGTAGAAATAACATGTCCAATAAACTCGACCTCCGTTACAGCGAATTGGCATTTGCTAGTATTCAGGCGGAGATTTAGTTCATTCAGTCTATGTAGCACAACGTGAACGTTTTCCTGATGTTCGGTGGGGTTACTACCAAAGACACAAATATCATCCATCTACACAACACACCCTTTGATATCTGATAAGGATAGAGTAATGCATTTCTGCCAAGCTGCTGGGGCAATACTAAGACCCATTGGTAGCACTCTTGTATTGATACAAACCGCCTTGCGTAAGGAAACCAGTCAAATGTCGGCAACCTGGAGTCATTGGCATGTGGTAATATGCACAGCGAATATCCAGCTTTGAGAAACGTTTGAAGTTTGATACCCCAAGCAGCAACTCCTTGATAGAAGGTAGAGGTAACTTGTCCACAAGTATATGTCGATTAAACGCTCGAAGGTCGGTGCGTACACAATAGAGCCATCTTTCTTTTGAAACGCAACTAGTAGATGAACACATTCAGAACACTGTATGGGTTCTATCAAGTCTTCTGTGACCATATTTTTCAAATCTTGCAACAACACTTCTCGCTTGGCCAGAGATACAGGCCTAGGTTGAGAAATGCCGAACGGTTTATAATCTGCTCTCAACCGAATGCGGTGCATTGCTTTTGAGACTCTACCAATATCCGGAAGAAAGAGATTTGAATAACTGGAACGTAACGAATGAAGGTTGACGCTGACAATGATCATCCGGCTGACGCTTGTTGATACGTTCAACAAGACCATGGCAGTAAGTCCTAATAGAGACTTACTGTCAGTTTTGGAGACGTAAATTTCAACTATACGCTTTCTGCTGTTTATAAGGAACATTGAAACCGTAACAAAACCGAGTATGTGGACATCACTATTGGAGTAGCTGCTGAAAGTATAAGCGGAAGGATGTACAGTTAGCTGACCAAAATGCTGTTTGTAAACCAATATAGCGCAAATGTGATTGGTGACGCGGAATCTAGTTCCATGTCTAGACAAATGGTTTTGTTTCTAACTTCAAAAGCACACGACGAATACCTGGCGAAGGCAGTTGCTTGAGCTGGAGACGAAAGTGGATGTTTGCATTCATTAACAACATATATAGACTGTTCAGTGGTGACCAGAGAAGCTCTGGAGTCATTTGCGAAATCAACTAAAGCAACGTCGCGGGAATGACAAACCCGAGCAAAATGCCCGGTCTTATCGCAATTCCGGCAGATCTCATTCTTTGCAGGATATGACTTATCATTTGCACCATGTTCAGCCTTTCCACAACGGTAACACTTATTTCTAACTGAGGATCGCGTCAGAGAGCATGTGGAATCCAAACGGTCAATTTCGGTAGCTGCAGCGTTAGAGAGGAAAAGTTTGTTTTATTCCGTGACTGCGACCTTCGCGCGAACCACATCACAGGCCCTGTCCCATGGGAGCTTTTCTGGGTTCTCTGTTAAGAGACTCTCTGATCCGAGAATCTGTGAGTCCAGAAATCAATTGTTGTATTAGCATAGTTTCTTCAACTTTTTATTATTATCGGGAACACTAGTGTAGTCACACTTTCGAACAGAACAAAGAAGACGGGAAATGAATGCATCCACTGATTCACAAGATGCTTGCTTCAGATGTGAAAAATTTTACCGAGAATATAGGTGTTCACTCGAACACCGCAATGTTTTTCGACGACCGATAAGGCCTCTGTCAACGTGGATTTCTCCCGCAGATTTAGAGCATCAGACATACGTCGACCATCTGGGCCGAGGTGAAAGCGCAAAAGCTTTAAAGTATCCTCCGTTTTTATCGTCACGGATGGATTGAGAACTGGTAACACAGAAATATAACCTGAAAATCTAATTTTCCAGTCTTCCCAGCATTCTGCATTTAAGGGAATCGCAAAGTCAGTCTAGAACGTTAAAGGGCTAGTAGCATGCAAAGACATCGGTAACACGATACGCCAATTTGTGGTATCCCGAAAAAGCAGCAGACCAGAGCGACACCGGAACGCGTATTTGGAAGAAACTGTCCGCACACACTCGCAGTACAATTAAATCGATAGATGTTCGCATTGCAACCAATCAAATGCAAGCTCACATGATGGGCTAACGAGTGTTACATAGAAGTGTGAGTAGGATAAGTGAATCGAGGGCAAAAATAAAGCATTCGAACATAACAGGTTAGTTATCAGGTGACAGGTTCTCCAACGTAACGGGATGTCATCTTCTGCGGTTTGTCTCAATTAACTTGCGTCGGGTTTCTGTGATGGTCCTTTCATTTACTCATCGCATGCTTTTTAGAACTGGACTCTATAGATTGTCACCTGCTCATTTTAACCTCATTTCCAAAATATTAAATTAGTAGCGGTTTTACAAACCCAGTACCATACAGCTTTTCCCGAAACGATCCATTTATGAGGTTAATATTATATTTCTCTGATTTCACCAATAGCGCTGTGCCATCTAACCCCTTTGCCATTACCGCTAAGATGATTCTCCGGAAGTCATTTTTCCGAGGGTTCAAGTGGGGGGTTATTTGGCTTTCGTTCTACTTGCTAAGTAGGATATTTGGTGAATCTAGCTAGCCGTATTATGTTTCGCGTTCATTCTTACCATTCGGTTTGCTAATCGCATACACCTAGGAGTATTTTGCTAGCTTACTAAAGATAAATACACTTTGACGGAGATCGGGTAGCAGCCGCAGTTAACTACCTCACCTGTATTTGATCTGGGACCAGACACACGTATTTTGAATTCGATTTAAAGTGTGCTCGTGGATCACGTACCATTATATTTGTGTATATGGGTGTAGCCAAATGCACAATGAATTCAAGGTACTTTGACTGATTTAGGTTACTGAAATCAATCATACAATGTAAATAGGTGTGTGCGCTTCTTTTGTGCAACCTCATTTCGGCCGTCGATTTTCAATTGAAGACGCAACCGTTGCCTGTTATTTGGTCAATTAACAGCTCATTTCAGTAACTATAGGCAGTCCTTAGTAAACCATTACTCATCATGAAATCAATATGATGGTCAGCAAACCACGAAACCTTTATGTATCTTGATACCGTCTCTGTTACTGTTGCACCATACATCATTCCGTTCAGTGCGTTCGTTAAAATACATCGGTGATAGTAATCTAATTTATTTCAATGATGTGACTGCGACTCATATCAAGTGAGCCATTTCCAAATTTAGGACTCTGGTGGACTAAAGGTCTGTCAAAATCATTGAACCAAAGAATAAAAGATCAGCACCTTATTGACTGAAATTAGGTCATCGAACCAAAAACGTGCACTTATTGGTAAAGATCAATTTTTCGTGGTCAGATGTTGAAGTACTCATCAGGTAAGAATTGTGACAAGCAAAGTGAACCTAAACCCAAGCAAACTGCTATCATTTTGCCCACTATAATAAAGTAGGTTGCTGTCTGCCTCCATCACCATACTTTATCACCGGTCTTGTTTTAATTTTAGAACTTTAGCTATCTACACAGGAAGTCGAAAATTAAACCGGAATCCACGCTGCTCCGTTTGCAGTCTCGAATGTATAAAGATAAGAAAAAAAGAAATTTCTTATGATTACGAGTGGCTAGTCCTCGATATTTTAGTACTCTACGACTGGTGGACAAACAGTCAGTCTACTGTATAGGAATATCAGCAGACGATCGTACTTCTACATTCGTTAGATCCATATGGGCGCCCAAAGCAAATCAAAGTTGAAGTAGTGTGAACTCTTGTGACCTTATGTGGCAGCATTTGACGTACGCCAGAGCAAAATGCTATCGCTAGCAAACGCAGTCGACGTTCAAACACGGGAACTACATATTCCATATATGTGCATAGTAAAATTATGTTTATGGAAGCTTTTAGACTAAAGCTGCGATCATAAGAGGATATCAGCAACTCGCTATAAGTTGTTCATGGCGCCTTTTCTTTCACCAAGTGAACGAAGAGTGGGAGACCATGAGATCCAAAATGCGCATCGATCTGGCACACTACAAGCGCGCACTCGAAATAGTTCAAGATGAATACGATCAATTCCGCCGAGAACACGATCCGAGTGTGGTCCATAAGCAGGTCAGTGACACTTTTTCACTCCGAGCAATAACTATGTTAGTGTGATTAAATGAACCATGTGAAGTTGGCACCCCAGACATTAGAATTGCATGGTATAAATACTGCGCACAGAATAGGTGAGGAAGTGCAACGCAACTAAATAACTGGTAAACTGATCACTTATCGATTTCGATCCTTATCAATATTTTGTATAATTGAATCCCACAGTCGACAAATTGACAAGCTTATACCTGTTGGTCATCAAGATTTACATAAGTGACATAAAGACGTTAGATAAAATCCCAGCGTTATTGAGCTACTTCAAACCAGTTGCATTAGTGAACAGTTCAGTTGAAAACGTTCTCTTTGGAATTTCAGTTAGGAGCTTAGGCACTAGCAGCACCCAGCGTTTTGGATCTAACGTGGCGCATGAATCCTTACGTTGCGACTCTATCTGCACATTATATATATATATATATATATATATATATATATATATATATACGGAAGCACAATTACTGGTAGCAAAAGGTTATGATAAATAATTTCCAAATAGTTTATCGATTATGCAAAATGTTAACCCGATGAATGTACACGAAATTTTGCTTTTTTCGTAATTAACAGGAGTCACTGTTTTCTGACCAATGTTATGTTTTGCGCACCAGTGCATATGTTTTTGAAATAGTCTCTCAAGAATCCTTGTATCTCTTTTCTATGTTACCTCTGCGAGTACAGGTAACATAACCACATCTAGTTTCATAAAATAATGTTTTCTTTAAATGCTCTCTATTTTAGTTAGCTGAAAAAGACGAGAGGATAAGCCTGCTGGAACAAGAAGGACAACAGCGCCGAACGGAACTGGAAGTTTTGCAGGTCCGACTGCAAAACGCCAACTCCCTATTGGAGGAGGTGCGCTCAACATTCCTGTGGAATGCTCGAATTTACGCGATAATCCAAGGCTATCTTCCACATGGCTTTAAATTATGCAGCGTGTACACTTTCTTGAAATATTTAAAGACACACCTCTGGTGAAGAAGGGACGACTAGTGGGCAGCCCTTGAGAAATAACTATATGAATAGTTTTATTTCCCGAAGCACAAGTAACAATGTTGTGTTGCAGATCTTTAATCCCATTTATTTGCAAATAACTATGCGATACTTTAGCTATTCAAGGACTTGGTGGAAGGCTCCTATTGTATTTCATTATAAGCTTTTTGTTAGGTTTTGTTGTACAAATCAGTAAATGTTAATCGCGTGATATCTTAGGACGGCAAAACTCGATAGTACCGTGGGCAATTCATACATAATATGCTAAGAACTTTACTTGGATCTTAACTCGACCTTTTCGTTTAAAAATTTGGCCATTTGTCTTTCATTTAGGTGGGAATAACACTTACATCCGCAATTATGCCCCTTTAAAATGCTGGATAACGGAATAACTCACCTAATTATCCATTTGACTTGTTAAGGATTACTAATTTTTACCCGTGTTGCGTCATGGTTCCATTGTTATATTCCAACGAAATTCATTACTTCAGCTGTGTGCACGTTAATGTTCTGACATCTTTTGCGTCAATCACTAGGGTACGGTTATATGATTGAAGTTCTAGTTAGTCATTATCGTCTGTGTGGTGTAAACTTCTACGATTCCGCTTACGTGTGAAAGGATTAAAATCGGAGTATCGTTACAGCGGGGGTGTATTCCTCCGAAACGCCTACTTCTCTTACTCAAGCTTCACATAACATGTCCTTAAAAGGCAACTTCAGCAGCATATTCGACTACGGCGTCACTAGGATTTTGCGCTGATCCATCTGGTATGAAAAATGACAAGCACAAATTTTCAAACATGGTTGCTTTTCGTTATGCATTGCTGTAATCTCCATTCTGGACGGTTACCGGCTGTCATCGGTCAAGACGCACAAGCAGTCTGGTTTATTGCCAAACTGGGTGCTGAACAGTATTTGATTAGCGTGATAAAGTAATTTTCACGATCAGATCACATGGTATTATGACTAACAACACGGTAGTTATCTCAAAAGGGATCCATCAGTCCAACCACTAAATGTACCATAATAAAGAACGACAACTGAGTGTAATCGCGTATACTGAGAGATCCATGTTTACCAATGCACGAAGTGAGCGTTGTACTTACAAAGCGGTACTCTTTATTAGTTGTAGAAAAAGCCCAAACTGGCAGCGTTTCTTGACCCCCTTGTCCTCGCGTCGCAACTGTTAACATAGACTCTAGGTAGATGACGGCGTTTAGGGTTATCTAGTGATCAAAATTGCCAGAACTGTGAGGTCGGAATTTGCTTCCAAATGGTAAGCTCTAAATCCCTGCTGTGTTTGTCAGTATGACTTGTAGTAGTGCAAAATTCGAGTATAGCGATTTTTGGCGAATTCTATTTAATTATCATAACCATGATTAAGCGGAAATACTATACAACAGAATTTTTTGCTTCAGCGCCCTACACTGTTTTAACGGTTTGAGATAACTCACTATAACATTCGTCATTTTAGTCAGAAAATCGATTGAAGGCATCGATAAGAGAGCGTACAGCACAACAACATCGCCTTACCTTGGTCGAAACCGAACGGGATGAGGCCATTCGCAAGGCAGCTAACATCGAAGGAAGGGCAAGTGCAGAAAGAGAAAATATTGCTTCAAAACTTCGAGAAATCGAAGAATTGAGAGTAGAACGTGATGGTTTGCGCCGAGAGCTGATGGAGGTGAAGCAAACGCTTGCTGGTTGTCAGGCCGAGACCGCTGCTGACAAAAGACAACTGCAAGTTCGATTGCGTGAAATGGAAACATATAATGAGGCCAGGATAACTGACTTCAAGGCGGAGTTAGACAGGGCACGTGAAGAGCTTGAAAGACTTCAGGTATGACTAAGAGGTGATGCGAAATAACTATTGGAATGTAGAGTACCTTAGTATATTTTCTTTCTTTCCAACAACAAAAGATGGTAATATTATTGTGAAAAATTATCGTTTTAGTCCATTGTATTCTACTGTTCCTAAAGCACAGAAGGCTCCGAGATAGCAGCGATTTGGATTATTATCAGTTAAAGGTCTTGTGTTCCCTATGGGGTTGAATGCTTGTCCATTTGAAAATTCGGAAAGTACAAACTATCCACTTCCCCACTGTTGCAAAGTTGGAGTTCGTCTGGTGTCATCATTTATTAATATAATATGAGCAATTCCTTTGTTCTTCACATCCCTGATATCTCCGTAAAGTGTATGATCAAAACGATACTAGGTTGCGTAACTTCGCCGGTTCAAAATGCGTCATTTCTTCTTATCGAATCGGAACCCATGTTCATTGTTGCGTCTTGGAGCACCAATCGCGTGTCCAGATTGCTGCACTTATTCCCAAATGTACCACGGTTTACTTTGAAACAAACCTGCGCCATTTGGATCACTAAGGCTCCATCTGAAGTAGGGAGTTTCGGATCTGCCCTCTCCCAATACTAAACCGCAATGCTTGGTTACAGCATCTCTATAATCGATAGTTTTGTTTGCCACCAAACGCGGTTTTATCCTAGCGGACAGCTAATTGACGCTCTTGAAATCATTTTCAAAGGTAGATGTAAATCGTTTCTTAAATCTTCCAGCATTAATGTTTACCACTGTGTCTTATTCGATTTCAGTTAGAGCTCCAAACAGTGCAAGCGTCAGAACTAGAGCAAAAGGCATCGAATCAACAGTATCGATGGAAGATTAACGAACTAGAGGATCAACTAAGTCATTCTCTACGCCGCGTAAGCACACTGGAACGCCGCAACACCGATCTGGATGCAGAGCTCACACGAGCAAAAGCCGATCTCAGTACCTCTAGAGAAGTAGCCAGTCTACGAAAGGCGTCCCAGACACGATTCGCAGAAGAGTGGCTTCAGTATGTTGGAAGTGAAGATACTGAAGACGAAGATTTAAACGCTTCTTTTGGTGATGAAAATTCTCCTTTAAATTCAAGGGTTAGAAGGTAAGTTATCTGTTTGAAATATCTAGACAGTTATCAAAAGCTGTTCTTCTCGGTTTCATCTAACGTGTGAAGCGTGCTAGTGCCAATATGGAAGGATATAGTTGTTTGGAACACATCCAACCCAACCTAAATAATTTTTTCGCGCCTTGCAATTGCATCAATTGTTGCCCCGGGATGCTTAATTAATTTGCTGTTTAGCAGATTTCTACTGATTTAGTTTATCCAAAAACAATCTGTCCGAATTTGCTTGTACTGCGCAGACCAGTCTCACAACAAAGCTAAAGCGATACTGATGTAAATACATCTCCCAATACTCGAAAGCTCTAAATGCCACAACAACTGTCGGTCTAAATTGGAAAAGTTAGT